TATCTCTATCACCACTATAGTCAGTATCTGTGAAACTTTCAAGTTTCATACCCTTATTAGCATATTTATAAACTAACTCTCAATTAGGGTACCCTTCATGTATCTAAGTAACCACTCTAATGCTTTCCGATATTTGGGACTAAGATTAGACATGTACTTACTTAACACACTTATAGTGAAAGCCAGATTAGGTTTAGTATAGATAATAAGGTACATAACGAGAACTAATAATATTTGAATAAGGAATAGTATAGATTCTCTTTCTTTATCATTAGAAGATTATTGTTCTTTGGATAAAATAAAATGGTTTCCAAGAGGCATAGAAGTAAGTTTGTAATCAAGCATGTCAAATTTCTTTAAAACTTTAAGCACGTAAGGAGTTTGATGCACATATGGGCAAGAATTAGACTTATCCCTATTAATCTCTATATCAAGGGTCTTCCTAGAGTGTCCTAGGTCTTTTCATATCAAATTATTTTCCTAAGTCCATTTTAATCTTGTTTACCGCCTTTATGTAAAGTCCAATTAACAACATTTCGTCCATATAAAGTAACAAATACACACACTCATTATTAGTGTTGTAGTGCAGGTAATACAAGTATTGGTCAAATTTACTTCTCTTAAAACCACGAGATAATATATAACAATCAAAATTTTTATACTACTAACACGAAGACTGTTTTAGCCCATAAAGAAATTTCTTTAAAAAACAAATATGTTTAGGTTTAGACTTACTTTCAAAAGCTTTGGACTGATTCATAAAAATCTTTCTAGCAAGATCAACATGTAAAAAATTAGTTTTGATATCAAGTTGTTTAAGTTCTTAGTCATAATAAGCAACAAAAGTAAGCGTGATCCTAATAATGGTATACTTAACAATTGCAAAAAGACCTCATTATAATCTATCCCTTCTTTCTCCATGTTTCCCTTGACTACTAATCTCGCCTTCTATTTCCCGGGCTCATTCCTCTCCTTGATCTTATAAACCCATTTGCATTCAACTATGGCTTTATCTTTAGGTCTAGGAACTAAATCCCAAGTTTGATACTTAGTAAGAGAACTCATATATTCTCTCATGGTACCTAGCCACTTCTCATAGCTATTAGGCTCCTTATTAACTAGTTCTTGATAACTCTATGGGCTACGATATAGTCAGACATCCTTTGAGGTTCTCTACATGGTCTCTTCTCTCTATCTTTAGCTAATTGATAATTAGTTAGAGGGTTTTAGTCAATAGAGGTGTCCTCAACAACTTCCTCATCATCTTTTAACTCTACGTTCTATCGATTTTATGTATTACTCTCCACCTCGCTCAAGATAATGGAGATGTGAATACTCACGGCTCCACCTTAATAGGTGATTATTCCCTAACGTTTTCTTGTTTGTTCCTCACTTTCTTTACAAGGCAACCCACACTCATTAAAGGTTACATTGCGACTTATGATTATTCTCAAGCTCTTCTAGCTTCTATCTCATAACCTATATCTTACGGTAGCCTAAGAAGACACACTTCTTACCTCTGGGTTCTAGTCTTTCCCCACTTTGATGAAAGAAAGTAGCACAACCAAAGAGCCTAAGTATAGAATAATCGGCACATTTACCGTACCATACAAAGGAGTCATATTAGTCAGATAACATGCAATCATAACATATTCACATAAAAAAAAGTGAGGTACACCAGAACTTAAACATCACACATCTAACTTTATCAAGCAAAGTACAATTCATTATTTCAACAACCCTATTTTACTAGGGAGTGTGAGGTAAGTCCCATGTCTAGTGATGCCAAATTCATTATACGAATTATCAAATTTAGCATTGCAAAACTTGAGACCATTATTGGTACGCGAATATTTCACTTTCTTATCTGTCTGATTCTCTATCTTACCTTTCCAATTTTTAAACTTAATGAAAGTTTCAAATTTATCTTTTAGCAAACAAACCCACACACATCTGGAGAAATCATCACTAATAAATAGAAAATATTTATTACCACCAAAAGTGGGATTGCTATCCAGATTGTACAAATCAGTATGAATGTATTCTAGCAGTCTAGATGTCTTGTGTATGCTTACAAATGACATCCTACGATGTTTACCAAAATATCATGTCAGATACCTAGTTCTTACCAAACAAAACATTGTCATTAAGAAACTTATGTCCTTTAACATTAACATGAGCTAACCTGTTGTGCCACTTCTGAATCCGTATCAGCGATAGTGAAATTTAAACCACCCATCACTTCAGCATGTGTGATATAAATGACATTGTTACTAGTAGTCTTAAAGGCTCTAAGTGCTCCCTTAAACATTTTTAAAACTCCATCATCGAGAACAGCAGTGAAACCTGTACGCTCCAACTCTCCCACAGAAATTAAATTCCTACCTAGAAGTGGAATATTCTTAACTTCTTTTAGTGTGTGCATAAAATCATAATCAAATCTGTGTTCAAAACCACTGTCAAATCTGACAGTTACACTGTGCACGCCAGTGATCTTATATGCAACTCCACCCCATGCAACTGTATGTCCATGATCAGATTTATGCAAATGATCAAACTACAATTTATTTGATGTAACATGAAAAAAAGTATTGGATCAAGAATCCACTAATGCATATGGAAGTTCGTTGGCACGTTTATTTCAACTGTTTCGATATCGAAGAGCTCGTAAAACTTACTAGGTATCATTTCTCTAGACAATAACATTTGCCCCACTGGGCTTACTATCCCTCTAATCTCTCAACTTGTTTTTTTCTTTTTGACAGTCATTTATGAAATGTCCTAATTTTCTACAGTAGTAACATTTCCTTCATTTATCCTTTCCGTGTGACTTAGATCCACCTCTTCACTTTTCTTGCCATCACTCTTTTGCCCTTCTCCATCCCTAAATTGAATCCTATCCCTTATTTGTTGAATATCTCCTATTTTTCTCTCATTTCTTTCAACTTTCATTTCCCTCTCTTTAGTCTTACTGAATTAATGACTATATTGGATGTAAGGGTTATTCCTTCCATATTTGATTGCATTATTGACATCCTTATAATTATCAAGGATAATATTCAAAAGAATAATAGCTTTATATTCATCAAAAACATTTTTTCCACAATTTGTAATATCTTGAATCAATTTATTGAAAATGTCAAGATTGTCATCTAAATCTTTTGAGGGATCAAATTTGAAAGTAAAAAATATTCAAGTAAGAAAAGATTGTTGGCATGGATTGAATCAAACAAAGTTCCTCAAGCTTCTTCCAAAGTTTTTCGACAGTGTCATGTTTACCAACTTTTTGCAAAATTGTATCAGATAAGCACAAAATAATAGAGGCATAAGCAAGTTCATCAAACTCATTTTTCTAATCCTCAATCACAGTTGCAGCAAAAGAATTATCAATGGCTTTTGAAATTTTTTGTTGTACTAGAATCCATTTTATCTTTTGTAAAAATAAAAGGAAACGACCAATCAGAGAAGGCCAAGTAGAATGACTACTTAACGGATATCAACTGTGTAAAAATTATAGAATGGTCCCTAGATAATCACACCATGGATAATCACGTTTCTTCACATTAAAGAAAATGTTTAGGGTTAAAACACTATAAAAAGACTTTAACTCAAACTTTTG